GTAAACTCTTTATTTGACATACTACCCTCTTGTGATCAGGTAGATTTATATTATCATCGATATCGTAATATGGCTTAAGATTAAGTCTTGTAGTAACAGCATTTGAGTAAGAGTGACGCGTGGATAATACTAGCAAATTTACAACATCAGAAATAGTAAGATGTTCGAGAATGTATGTTTTTCCAGTTTCCTAAGGTGACCCTACATAAATATCACCTTCATTGGGTAATGGTCTTACATATCTCTTCTTATATGTTTCTGTAGCTGTAAGGGTTTCATTATATTTGACCCATGTTGGCATTTCTACGAAGGCTTTAGGGAAGCCTAGACCTTTTACTTTGCGGGAGACTTGTGAAGAATTTTTATTTTTTTGCTAATTTTTTCCGCAATAGATGGGTCACATTCAAAAACTTCCTCATGCTCATCACTATTTTACCGAAAGCATTTTACGATGAACCTCCTACTGCTAGCACATATATGACTGAACTATCACTGATCCTTATCATGTATATGTTTGCAGAGTGGACATTCTAGTAAAGCTTTTCAGTTAAAATATATTAAGTTTTCCTTTGTCTCTTCCTTTTCTTCAATAATCCAATTCCTAAGATATTTAGAATACTTTTGCAAAATTAGATCCGCATATTTTTGTAATATATCCTGCTCTATAGATATTCTTAACAGATCATTATTTTTTTCTGTACTAAGTATTTGAGGTCTTACTTCAAGTCCTAAGCTAGTAGGTGGTTGAACCCTAGTATAATCGAGTTCATTCTATCTGTTATCTAATGAGAATTGAAGAATACGCTTTACACAACCTTTTTTTGCTGAACTAACAAGGCGAAGATTAAAATTATGGCCAGGTAATCCTCTATCAATGTATTTGCCGAATTTTTCACCAGTCAAACTATATACTAATTCAGTGAATGCTTTAAGTTCATGATGATCAATAAGGAGAGCTGGTGCATATAAAATATGGTAGCTACACTTGCTAGGATCTGATGATGTAGTAATTATTAACCCTTTGAGAATATCTTCCAACCACAGTCAAGAATTTGGTATAGAGCTCTTATAAAAGAGCAACAGATTCAAATGAATACTTCTTGTCCCTTAATACCAGCTGTTTCCATATCCACTTTTGACGTATCGATATCAATCACAGCTCTTAAAGGTTTTTGACCGTTAATACATTTATAAATCCCAGGTAAATCATATACTTCAGAAATGTCGTCTGCAATGGAAAACTTTGGGGCTCGATCGTCTTGATCAATTTTGATAACCAATTTATCTACCACTTCATCCTGGTCATAAACATTATATAAACTAGAGCCTTTTTCATTTGAAAAGAGAAATGAATAAATTGGAAGATATTTCAATGACCTCTTTTTATCTGACATATCTCTAGGTGATGATGAGAGAATTTCCCGAATAGCACTTACCAAATTCTTAGGAGAAAATTTATTATTAAACTTTTCCTTTCTTAAAGTATATGTTACATTAACAGGTAGATCCTCCACTACATTTCGCTCTTGTACATTTGAAAGCTGAACTAATGGAGTCTCGGTAATGCTGATTGAAGTGCAGGTAGCTTCTTCATTATCCAACTCATAATTAGACTCATAGTAATTATAATCATTTAACCCTAAGTCAGATCTATTATCAGTACAATTACTTGAGTTACTTAAATATTCATTAGACTCGGTGCCGTCATAGCGGATGAGAGGACCAGTTCTAGTGCGATTAGTTTGGTCAAAAATAGTTGAGGTATGCATAATGTTAGTTCGAAAAGTTATTCTAACTCTATAAAAATTGGAAATGTTTAAAATATTTTTTTTCTGATGGATGCAAAAAGAGACGTATAGTAAGCTAGTAAGCAAATCATAAAAGAAAGACAAGTAGATATGTATCTGAAGATGAAGCCTTCTTCAGAATTATTATATAAAAAATTGGAAGGCTTCATTTTTCTAGATATGTGTTCGACTACAATATAGTCTTTGTGTAAGACTTATTCGCTTAATGTCAGCCAACACTATTTCATAATTTCGGCTGAACTTTGGGTATAATAACTCGGCATTCAAGCTGGCATATAGGTAGACTAAAACTGGTGAACTAATAGAACCACTCTAGCTCCCTGCCAGTTCTATAACAGTTCCTCAACAGTTCTATAACAGCTCTAGGATACTATCAAGTCACCATCATGTTACTAAGCTAAGACCTAAAATTACATGCCAAAAGATCAGCCAGAGTTAT